ATTTTATTTATTTATTTTAGACAAGGGGGAAGGGAGGGAAAGAGGGAGAGAAACATCAATGTGTGGTTGCCTCTTGTGCGCCCCCCTACTGGGAATCTGACCTGGCCCGCAACTCAGGCCTGTGGCCTGACTGGGAATTTAACCAGAGACCCTTTGGTTGGCAGGCCAGTGCTCAACCCACTGAGCCACACCAGCCAGGGCCAGGAGTGTGACCATTAATGGCAATGATGATAAAGGTGGTGGTGGTGGTGGTGGTGACAAAGAACAGCTACTGAGCACCTACAAGAAGTCAGGTCTACAACAGCATTATTTTCCATCCTCATGACAATCTTCTGAGATAAAAGGTGTTACCATTCCTATTTTAGGTGTGAGGAAACTGATGCTCAAAGCAGTTAAATAACTGGGCCAAGGTCACATAGCTAGTAAAGGCAGAGGCCAAATTGGATCCATGGTCAGCTGCTATTAAAATCCCTCCAATGTCTTTTGTCCTAGCAGGATTCAGGGACCTTTGCACATTGATTTCAGAAACTTTTAAACATGAAAGAGGTTGCGTGAGCAAAGGGCAGCTCCTTTGAGGCCACAGGCTTCCCTATCCCACACACACTCTGTCCCCGGACCAGCATCTGCTGAAGAAGTGCTTAGAAGTTTATTCCTCTCCCAGGCACATTGATAATGAGGATGGAAGTTATAACTGGGCTGGATACAGAAATGAGAGCTGCCCTGGCTGATGTGGCTCAGTGGTTGAGTGCTGGCCTGCAAATCAAAGTGTCACTGGTTCGATTCCCAGTCAGGGCACATGCCTGGGTTGCAGGCCAGGTCCCCAGTTGGGGCCGGGTGGCGCGTGAGAGGCAAATACACATTGATGTTTCTCTCCCTTTCTTTCTCCCTCCCTTCCCCTCCCTAAAATAAATAAATAAATAAAATCTGTAAAAAGCTCTTCCTTTAAAAAAAAAGATACCAGTCATATTGGATTACGGCCCACCTTAATGACTTCATTAGGATGAAGTCATTACATCCACAAGGACACTATCTCCAAATAAGGTCGCATTCACAGGTACTGGGGGGTTTAGGATTTCAACATATCTTTTTTTAAAAAAATATTTTATTTATTTATTTTTAGAGAGAGGGGACGGGAGGGAGAAAGAGAGAGAGAGAGAAACATCAGTCGATTGCCTCTCGCCTGCCTCCAACTGGGGACCTGGCCCACAACCCAGGCATGTGTCCTGACTGAGAACTGAACCAGTGACATTTCAGTTCGTAGGCCAGCACTCAGTCCACTGAGCTGCACCAGCCAGGGCTTCAACATATCTTTTTAGGGAACGCAATTCCACCCAGGGCCAGTGATGTAAGAAGGGGTCATAGAAAGGGATCTTGAGAGTGGTCCGAGTCCTGCAGACTGTGACCAAGGCCTCAGTTCCTGGAGAGCATCAAGACAGCTGCACACATGGGACTGTCTTCAACACTCAGACAGATCAGCTCTTCCAGACTGACACTGTCATCTGAAGAGGAAGCTAAGGGCCACAGAGAGAAATTAGACCTCAGTTCCAGGCTGCCTGTCTCACACACTGCTGAGTGACATTGTGTGGTAGTTGCTTCTTCATTCCAGACCCCTGGAAGTGCTCAGCTCTCATTTCTTTCTTTTTAAATTTATCTATTTTTAGAGAGGGGAAGGGAGGGAGAGAAGGATAGAGACGTCAATGTGTTGTTGCCTCTTGTGCACCCCTCCACCTGGGGAGCTGGCCCGCAATCCAGGCATGTGCCCTGATTGGGAATTGAACCAGTGACCGTTTAGTTCACAGGCCAGCACTCAATCCACTGAGCCACACTAGCCAGGACAACTGGTATCCTTATGAGAAGAGAAAACACCACATGAAGACAGAGACACACAAGTTGAAGCACATCATGTGATGGAGACAGAGACTGGGGTGCTGCTGCTGCGAGCCAAGGAACACCTGGGGCTACCTCACCTAAGAGGCTTCCAAGGACACGTGGTCCTGTCAACACCTTGATTCGAGCCTTCCAGCCTCCAGAAGTGTGAGAGAATAAATTTCTGTTGGTTAAAGCCACTACATTTATGGAACTTCGCGACAGTAGCCCTAAGAAAATAATAAAGACCCCCACCATGCTTACCTGCCTTAGCCATACCACCCATCTCTCTGCTCCTCCGCAGGCTAAGCTCCTTCTCCCAGCTCCAGGGCCTTTACACCTGCTGCTCTTTCAGAGTGTTCTATACCAGCACCTTCCCCACATCCTGTCCCTTGCTCCTTTTGAACTTGGCTTAAATGGCACTCCTTCAGGAAAATTTGGACTAGGCTTTCCCTCAGAGCAGCAATAGGAATGCATTCTTCACAACTCTTAGCACATCTGTGGTTAATTACTTTCTCTTTCAGGGGTGTAATACCCATTGCTCTGGCCAGCGGCAGTTGTCATGACAACAGTGCCTGACACATTCACCAGCAGTCCTGTCTATTCCCAAAGCCCCAAGGCTGAGGCACTGTTAGCTTTTTTTTCTCTTTACAGCATTCTCTAAACAGTAAACAACCAATTTATGTTCACTGACAGGAAAAGAAACCCCAGAAAACATCATGAACAAAAAGGGGAAAATATACTAAAAATCACTTATATTCCCACTGCACAGAGTAATCATTGTTAGCATTTTGTTATATACCCTTCCAGACTTTTTCATGTCATGTGTATTTCTTTTTTTAAAGAACATTTTATTTATTTCTTTTTAGAGAAAGGAGAGGGGGTGGAGAAAGAGAGGGAGAGAAACATCAATCGGTTGCCTCTCCTGTGCTCCTGGACCAGGGGATCGAACCCACAACCCAGGCATATGCCTTGACCAGGAATTGAACCAGCAACCTTTTGCTTTGAGAGATAGTGCCCAACCAGCTGAGCCTCACCAGTCAGGGCAGCCATGCATATTTCTTAAAATGCAGTTATACTGTTTTGTGCACTGCTTTTCTCCAGTAAGAAGCATATAATAAGCATATTTAAAGATCAATAATACAAAATTACATCACCATTTTTAGTGGCTGCCCAACATTCAACTGTAAGGTGAACCATAATTTATTTAGCTAAGTGGGAGGCTGCTAGACTGAGATGCATGCATGGTGATTTTTTTCCTCTTTTAATTGAATGTATTGGGGTGACATTGGTTAATAAAATGATAGAGGTTTTCCCTGGCCAGGTAGTGCAGTTTTTTAGTGCATCATCCCAATACACAGAAGTTGTGGTTCAATCCCCGGTCAGGACACATACAGGAAGCAACCAATGAATGACGAAATAGGTGGAACAGCGGATCTGTGTTTCTCTTTCTGTAAAATAAATAATAAAGTAAAACTTTTAAAAATTATATCGGTTTCAGGTTAAAGGTGATTATTTCTTGAGGAAGGATTCCTGGGGGTGAGGGGAGAGGGAGGAGGTCATGGGGGGGGGTCAATGGTGGTGGACGCACAGCACAGTGCACAGATGATGTGTCATAGAATTGGGCACTTGAAACCTGTATGATTTTCTTAACCAATATCCATCCCCCAATAAATTCCATAGTAAGGAGAAAAATAAAAAGGATTCCTAGAAATGGATTGCTAGGTCCACGATTATGTGTGTGTTTTTAAGACTTCTGAAGCAGAGTGCCAACCTGGCCTATCAAGTAAAGGATTTTCTGCCAGGGAAGGAAGAACAGGGTTTGGAGAAGAATCAGGCTTCAGAGGAAACGACAACCAGCGTGGAGCAGCGGAGCTGGCAGCAGCGGTGCTGCCCACGGGAGCTGGGGCTGGAAAGCAGGGCAGGATCCTGGGGGCTAGAGGCTGCTCCACGCAGCTGGACCTGGGGCCCCTCCAGCAGGACTCTGTGTGGGCCTTCTCTCAGGCAACCTCCGTTGTCTTTGGCCGTGAAACAGCTGAGACCTTGTCCACCTCGGTGAGCCCCTCTGTGAGCCAAGTGTAAGGGAGAGAAAACGGAGGGAATTACTTCCATTCTTAGGAAATGAGTTTCAAAACCAAGAGAGTTTTCAGGAAGCCTCGTTGTGTCTTCTTGTGTCTGACTGTGATGTGGGGGAGGGTCAAAGCAAGGACTCTCCGGCCTGGGCAGGAATGAACTGCTGCTGCTCTGAGGGTGGCACCCCGATCCCACTCTCCAGGCCTGCCCACCCTCAAACCACATCAGCTCATCAGGCTGCCAGGAAGAGGCCAGAGGCACTTCCCACTCCAGCAGAAACTGTAAGCATGAAACTGGATCCTGGCACTTTCTGCCCTTTCCCAGAAAATCAAGGCACAAAGCAAGCTGCCCTTTGGAGCAACCCACCTGTCTTCCAGTCCCCGCTCCTTCATTTACTATCTGTGGAATGTGGTAAGGTTAATTCACCTCACTGACCCTCAGATTTCCCATCTGTAAAATGGGGATAGTATTATAACTGTCTGACAGGGTAGCTGAGTTGATTAAGTGGAATAATATGCACAACACTTGGTATAATTTATTATTATTATCCGTGCAACTTCCTTTTTGGCTGGAACCACCAGATTCTCTCTGAGAAGTCACAGGCGTGACCACTTCCTGTGAAGAGCCCAAATCCTACACTCCCCTGCTGGCTTTCTGCTCCTACCAAGCTCTTTACTCAAAAGGCTGGTCTTACAGGAAATAATTGCTCATTTTCCCCGCCTCCCTTCTGATATCACAGTCTTCAGAAAAAGAGAATCTCATCTGGAAATCAGAATAAAAATAATCAGGCAGGGCGGCATGGTGTAGCATGTGATGCCTTAGGCTGGGTGTGTGGAGTGCTGTGTGGGGATCGGTAGAATGTGTTTACTTGTGCATAGCTTAAGGGGGAGCTGGTGTTAGGTTGTGGTTCAGGAGCGTGTGAGGCAATTTATGAAACTTGGCTTTGGGATAGCAAACTGCCGTGGAGTGGGGGCCTGCACAAGCTTTGCCAACCACACCCCCCAGGACTGCTGCATGACTCATCAGGGCCTTGGGAGGAGGGCTCTTCCTCTGTCCCTAGAGACCAGGAAATACCCTCCTCCCTAATGCACTCTGAGCTGTGATCTGAGATGCCAGGGGTGCAGTGTTGTAGAGAAAGCTTCAACTTGTTTTTAACTTTCCATTTTCAGGCTACACCCGGAGAGGCTGCCCTTAGTCCCTGCGAGCCAGAGCCATTGTATCGAGGCTTCTCTTCCTGTTGACTGCCAGAAACAAGCTTCCATCTGGAGGTAGGAGGTAGGGTCAGGAGCAGCCCAGCCAAAGCTCCAAGGTTGAGACCCCTGGAGATCCCTTTTGGCTGCCCTGCCCCCTCTCCCTGAACCGTGGTTTTCAACTTTGCTAAGAGCCTTTCTGGGTGGATTTTGGGGAGAGGGAAGCTCAGGTCCCCAAAGGGTCCCTAGGTGGATGGCACCTCACAGGTCTGGGCCTGGGATGGTAGCTGCCTTCTTTCTTCACTGCCCTGTGGTCTTCCTGGGGTTGGGTGGGGAGTATATGTGTGGGCCTACTTCTCCACCTGTTCTGTTTTCAACAAATCTCTCCTGGACTGGAGCTCTGGGATGCTATATCCCCAGCCTGTCCCCCATGGGAGTCTCTAAGAGCAGCCCCTGGTTATGGCTGGGCCTCAGGAAAAGGGACAGTTGGGGAGAGGTGCCCAGTCAGGATGTCAGTCATGGAATGAAAGGAGAGGGACAGGAGCATAGCATGGATTCCTTGGTACCCACAGATGGCCTACTCCAGCTTACACCCATCCATCCCTCAGCCCAGAGGTCCCAGGGCTAAGAAGGCAGCCCTTGTTTTGCTGAGTATCTGCCTGGTAGCCCTTTGGCACTTAGGTGAGCAGCCAAAACACATTCTCTGGTGGCTGACGCTCCACCTGGCCTCCGTGCAGCTGGGATTGTTGCTCAAGAGAGTGTGCCATCTGACTGAGGAACTACGCCACATCCACTCCAGGTGAGTCCCTACAGTGCCCGTGGTGACTGGGCACTCACTCAGCACGTCTTAATCCCTTGACCCCCAGCTCTGCCCCTCCTAGAATGTCACTAGCCGAGTTGGAGTCTGGGGTTTGGCTCTCACCTCTAGGTACCAGAGCAGCTACTGGAAGGCTGTGCGGGCCTGCATGGGCTGCCCCATCCGCTGTGGGACTCTGCTGCTGCTGTCCTGCTATTTCATCGCCTTCCTTCCAAGTCCAGCTGACCTGCCCTTCACTTGGATGCTTATGCTCCTGAGCCTCTCAGAGGCCCTGAACATCCTCTTGGACCTCCAGGTGTGACACAGAGGGACGTGGGGGGTATGACCAAGTGGAGGCTGTGGCAGGAAGTGTGACCTGCTCTGAGCTCAGTACAGGGAGTGGGACTAATTTAAAGGTTGGTTCTTGGAGTGAAACCTATAATGTCCTGGAATAGCGGGGTCAGCAGTGGCAGAGAAAGGAGAAAATCAGCAGTAGGTGGGGAAATCTTCTTGGAGGAGGAGAGCCCTAGTTGTCCTTCATGGAGGCCCCCTGACCCCCACCCTGCTGTCCACAGTGCCTGGCCCCAGCTGAGGTCTCTGCAGTCTGTGAACAAAGGAAGCTCAACGTGGCCCATGGGCTGGCATGGTCCTTTTACATCGGATACCTGAAGCTGATTCTGCCAGGTGGGCCACCCTCTGTCCTCATTTCTAGATCTACAAGACACACAGACATTAAGACACGTCATTTCCAGAAGTTGGTATATTTTTCAAAGTATTTTCATATCTAACAAATCACTTGATTCCCAAAGCAATCCTGTAGGCATGAAGAATGTTGTTATTGTGTCTGTGAGTATCAGGTGAATATCAAGTGACTTGTCCAAGGTCACCCATGAATTCTTTCAATACCTATTTACTGCATGCTGTGTGCCCTTCATGTGTATTTTCTCTTTTCATTCACCCCTGTGACAAAGGGGATAATCATTATTCTTGCTTAAGAGATAAGAAAATTTTGGTTCCAAGAGATAAAGTGACTTGTCCAAAGTCACACAGCTTAGTAAGAGAAGACAGGATCTGAGAGGAGACAGTGAGGGCAGAGCTTGGACCCTGGACCACCCTACTGCGAGTCTCTGTGCGGCGTCTCACTCTTCCCACTTGTCCGCTCAGGCCCGGGTTGTCCCACATCTTGTTGCTGCCTTCCCTGGACACCTGGGCCTCTGCTAGGAAATGGCTCGTGCTGGAGGTCTGACTCTGTGCACCTGGGGGTGCTGGCAATGTCACCTTGCAGGGCTCTGCCTGCCTCTCAGAGCCCTGGAAGCTGTGGGGGGAAGGAGTGGGGCTGACAGAAATCTGCACAAAGGACAGGGGGAGAAAGCGGTGGTGGGAGTAGGTGGAAGGGAGGGTTTTTGAATGTACTGCCCCTCTTGGCCTCCTAGGCAGTATGAGGGGACTGGACTCTCATTTCTGTTGAACCTACACATGGAGGGGACCAATGGCCCAGTTGGGAGACAGGGTTTGTGAGAATGTCTTCTTGGGCCTCTCTACCTCAGAGCTTCCGGCCCGGATCCGCAGTTATAATCAGCACCACAACAACACGCTACAGGGCACAGCAAGCCACCGGCTGTACATTCTCATCCCGTTGGACTGTGGGGTGCCTAACGACCTGAGTGTGGTTGACCCCAACATTCGCTTCCTGCATGAGCTGCCCCTGCAGAAAGCTGACCGAGCCGGCATCAAGAGCCGGGTTTACACCAACAGCATCTATGAGCTTCTGGAGAACGGGAGACTGGTGAGTGTGCAGGAAGGTGGGTCCTGCTGGGAAGGCTCAGACCCAGACCCCCAGAACTCTGGGCTCTAGCCAACCACTGATAAAAATGTACAGCCCTTCTCTGAGCCTCAGTTTACCCAATGAGTCCCAGGGCTGATCAAGATTCAGCACCGAATGAGGATAAGTAACATTTACTGAGCACTTATGCTTGCCATATGCTACTCTAGATGCTTCATCTAACCACGCCATAAATCCTCACCATCACTCTGTGGGGTAGGGACTATTACAACCTCTACTCTACAGTTGATGAAAGCGATGCTCAGAGAACCAGGGAGAGAGTAGACAACTTCAACCTGAGTATACCATGTTTTTTACCATAAAGCTGCCCTAGATGAAGGTTGTGAGAACATCTGATGGATTTCGCTTGGGGTAGGGGGAGACCCAGAGCAGGATTGAACCCCAGAGCCTGGCCCCCGGGTTGGATTTCAAACAAGAGCAGTTGACAACCTGGCTCAGGGGGCCTTGCCCTGGGATCTTAGGAAGAGGATCTGTGAAGGGTAAATTTAACCCAGTCCTGACCCTGATTTTTGGAGTTGGGTATCAGAGGCAAAGTCCAACTGGACAGCATAACCCCATTAGGGCGGCACCTCCCAGGACTCCATCTCTACAGACTGAGGGAGTGGGGTCCCTGTGAGGGTACTGGGGTCCAGAGTCTGTCTGCCCTGGTTTAGTCTGGTCTTCCCCTCACCTCCTCCAGGTGGGCACCTGTGTTCTGGAGTATGCCACCCCCTTGCAGACCCTGTTTGCCATGTCCCAGGATAGCCGAGCTGCCTTTAGCCGGGAGGATCGGCTTGAGCAGGCCAAACTCTTCTGCCGGACACTTGAAGACATCCTGGAAGATGCCCCTGAGTATCGGAAAAACTGTCGCCTCATCGTCTATCAGGGTAAGGGACTGATGATAGTCTGGAGGGCAGGAGGAGTAAGGGGTCTTCCAGGGGTCAGAAGGAGATAATGACAGCCTCACGCCCTAGGACTTCCCAAGTGGTCAGGCAGTCAAGCCCTGCCCCTTCCTCCCCTAGAGAGGTCCACCTCCCCAGGTTGGGATGCTTGGTTGCTCTAAGGTCTTTGACCATGGGTCTTGGGTAGAACATGAAAAGGTAGGCTCTAGGGGCTCCTCACCTCATCTAGGGAAGTAGAGGAAGCAAAAGAGCCCAGGCCAAGAATTGAGACCGAGAAGTGCTGCAGTCCCAGCTCTGACACTCCTTCCCTGCATGATCTCGGGCAGGTCTCTGCCCTTCTCTAAGCATTATCTCTAAAAGCAAGAGGGTAGAATTCCACTATCTCTAAAACCACTTCTATCTCTAGGAATCCATGAAACTCTAACCTCCATGAGCTGGATGGGGAGGGAGAGTAGGAAGGAGAGGAGGGAGAGTTGACGGATCTGCCCAGCAAGTTCTCTGGGTGTGTTGGAGTGGGAATGTGTGAGGTTCTCACTCCACTCCCCACCTGCATTCCAGAATCTGCAGAGGGAAGCAGCTTCTCCCTGTCACAGGAGATTCTCAGGCACCTGAAGCAGGAGGAAAAGGAGGAGGTTATTGTGGATAGTGCAAGAACCTCGGTGATGCCTGACTCTTCCACGCTGTACCAAGAGCCCGAGCTCCTCATCAGTAGCACAGATCAGCCTCTCCCGCTCCGCACGGATGTCTACTGAGGCCCAGGGTCAGCTCGTCTGAGCCCCCAGAAATCCCCAAGACTCTCTGGATTGGGGGCTTTCTTTAGGGGCTAGATACTCAGCAAAGCCATTTCCTCCCCCAGGGGCATCTCAAAGAAGGTACAAGGACCTGACATCTCAAGATGAGTCCTAGGACCTTGGGCAAGATGAGTCTCAGTGCCTTCATCTATGAAATGGGGTCATAATTACTGCCCTGCCTACCTTGGCACCCTCTCTGTGGTGTCAAGGTCACTATGAACTGTCTGCATGTCTTGACCAAACTTGCCCAGGAACCCTGTGTCTCTCTAGGTCCCATGAACTGCTTCCTCCCCCTGGCCCTTCAGACCCAGCAGAGGTATGGCTCCCCACCAAGGGGCGTCCTGTCATACTCACTGTCACCTTTGGTTCCCTTATTCCTGCCTTTTCTAAATGGTCTCCTTTTTAAACACTCCTCACATTACACATTTGAGTGTGCCACCTTTCTTTGGCTGAACTCTGACTGATACAAGCTACTGGCATTTATCATCTGCAGTGTCCAAACCAGCTTGCACAGACATGCTTCTTCACACCCCTCCTCATCCCAGTATAGGGCAGTGGTGGGGGGGGTGGGTATCAGTTCAGTGTGGACAGGCAAGCTGAGGGCAGAGGGTTGGGCAGTACCCTCCCCTCCACCTGCCCTTTCAGTGCCCTTGTCTCCAATGGGGGACTTGGTGGGGAGCAGGAAGAGACCAGGGGCTGCCTGAGGGAGCATACCAATGCTGTGGGGGGCACATGACCATGCATGGGTAAGGGGCTGCTCATGCAGGGGGCACTGAGTAAACATGCCCAGATGAGAGAGCCCACAAAGGGACGGGGGAAGAGGGTTTGTGTGAAGAGGTGGGACATACTCTGGGGGACAGCACAGCCAGCCACCTGCCATGCCTTATGGCATAAGGATGCTATTGCTGTTAGAACTGAGCCACTGCAGTGACACTTTGGTGGCAAAATTGCCCCCATCTGGGAGAGGAGGCAGCCCATTTCTACCAGTTCCATTCATTCCACCCAGCACTTGTTCCTTCCTTCCCTCCCACCTTTGTTTTTGACACAAATGCTCAATATGCACATCTGAGTACAGCATGCTGTAGAGAAGGGCTCCACACACAGACACACATTGGCCAGAGGGAACCAACTGCCCCTAAGGACGACACAGCCAAGAGAGTGAAGGGGAAATAGTCCCTTCCTCTCCCCAGCTGTCCCAGCCATTCTGTCTCCAGCCCTGAGGACCCTCCCACATCACACCAGTCACTCCTATAGCTAGAAGCCAGACCAGGATCAAGGGCCTCCCCAACATGACTGTCCCCACCCATCTGGCCTGCAACATGGTGCTCAGGCTGTGGAGTCTGGTGGCCCCAGGTTTGAACCCTTCTCTACCACTTAGTACACGTATCCACCTGGGTGTCTTAATATTCCCAACTGTAAGATGGGGATAACAGTGGCTCCTCTTCCCAAAGGTGTTATGAGGAGTGAACGGTACAATATCTGCAGGCCCATGGAGGAAGCCAGTGCCCAACACATAGCTGGCCTCCAGGAAGGGCAGCTATTAACCTTAGAGCTGCCTCTCATCAGCTCAAAGGTGGCAAGCTGGTCCTCTGCACACATTATAATCCCCATCTCTGTTCCTCTTTACCTTCTGTTATTTCTCAGCTTCCCTGACTGCTGGGGTCTCACCGAGGGCAATCCCCAGGGTTGACTTGTTATTCCTTCAGTTATTCCCCAGGGTAAAGCACGCAGAGGTGGCTCCATAAATGTCTGTCTGCATGTTCTTAACTGCACATAAATGAAGCTCAGAAGTGTCAGGGAAAAAGGTACCTTTCCAGGAAGCCACTGGGAGGCTCAGCTCTGCCTTCCTGGCTTCCAGCCTCTTCCCAACCTCCATGTCCCTCCTTCTGTAGGTCTTCTCTCCACTCCTTTCTTCCTGCAAACAAGCTCCATGAAGTTCCTCATTTTTTTCTTTCTGTTTCCCCACCAGGATTTGGGAAATGTCCTGGGGTAAATACTAGGCTAGTTCCAACAGTCCCATGCACACAGAGAGGGGAAGGTAACGAGAGCTCCCAAATTTCCCCCATCGCATCGTGGGAAGGCAAGGCAGAGTCTTGCCCCAAGAGACTGGGGGCCATTCAAAGCCAATTTGGGGAGCCATAATTGGTGCCTGGGGGTTTGCAAGGGCCTTAAAAATTGTTAGCAAGTCCTGGGCCCTGAGAGTCAAAAGGATGTCCCCCGATCAGTGAAGGGCAACAGATTCTCCTTCCTCTCCTGAGTCCCAGAGAAGGCAGAGCCCTGGGTCCTTTGCCTTGGCACTCCTTGGCTGGATCTCATGGGCACCTGGGCACTGGGGCAGCAGGCCTTGACAGGGAGCCTCTGACATCCCTGCACAAAGGTAGGCTGAGTGGTGGAATCTTCCAAGATGAACTTACCTTGACACCCAAAGGAAAGAAGATTAGGGATGGGAGGAGGGGTGGGGACTCGGAGAAGGAGGCTCAGGGGGCTGGTGGTCCCTGGAGAAGAGAAAGAAGCTTTGTAAGGGCAGCCTTGGGCACAGGGACTGGACATAGCATATGTCTGGGCTGGGCTTTCAAGCTTCTTTTATTTTCTCCTGTCCACACAAGGCTTTCTCTGTACTCTGCAGAAAGGGCAGCTCCAGCTTAGTCTATATGTGTCCTTCCGAAGCTCTGACTGACACCCAGGCCCCAGTTTGTTTTTGCCCTAGTTCTCTGTTCAGTTTCTTGTTCTGAGCCAGGTCACACCAGCTTTCCAAAGTCACCCTCCTATAGATATGTGACTTCATCAGTGCTGAGCTTAGGTCCACCTGGCACAAGGCAGGAGCTAGAGACAGGAGGGCCCTCCTGGGTGTCTTCATGTCTGTCCTCAGGGCCCAGCACTCGCCAGTGGGTAAGGTAGACGCCATCCTTTGGCTTTGGGGCTGGTGGTTCTGTGGGGAGATTGGCACGGCCCTGGTGTAGACTTGGCCCAAAGTGGACTGCCACCACAATACAGACTGCCAGCAGGACAAACATGGCGGTGATGACGGTGAGCAGAGGCAGTCCATCCTCTGGAGGTGGTTCCCAGGCCCCACTCAGCACCTCTGGGAGCTGCCTCTGGGGCTCCTGCCCTGCTGAGCCGTTCACAGCTGGAGGAGGCCAGGAAGAGTGGTCAGCCTGGGAGGGGAGTGGCAGAGAGAGACGGTGACATGGGCAAGTACACACAGAAAAAGACTGAAGTAGAGAGAAACAGACCCCCAAAGGGAACTGAAAGGGAGAGACAGAGAGCTTCAGGGGGAGAGTGAGAAGAACAGAAGCAAAGAGAGAGTAAAGACATGGAGAGAGCGAGACAGAATAGAGAGACTGAAACATAGAGGTGAATACAAACATAGCAACAGAAGAATAAAAAAGACAGGCAGAGGGGGATATGGGGAGAAAGAAAGACGCAAAGAGAAAAAGAGAAGAAGAGATAAACAGAAAGCAATGAAAACAGACACAGAGAGACAGAGAAAAAAGAAACAGAGAGGGAGGGAGATGAAGTTGTTTGGAAAGGGACAAAGAGAGGGGCTTGGTTACAGAGTTTAGTCCTGCAGGTTCCCTCCTACAGCCCTCCCTTCCCAGGTCTCCATCAAAATGCCTAAATAGACCCTGTGTCCTAGGTCAGGAATCTCAGCACACTATGGGCTGCTATCCCATGTCCTGGGCAGTGGGCAGTGGGCAGTGAGCAATGCTTCTTAGAGTCCTGGGAAAAGGGAGTCACTGTGTCCAGCATCTTAGGTTCTCACGATGCACATAGAAGGGGGGATAGGGAAGGAGTGACCTGGGGGAAGGGAAAGAGGAAGGAGAAATAGGAACCCCAGAAATGTGTCAAGGGGAATATCTCTTTCATAATACCCGCTCAGGTCTCAGGATCAGAGTCTAGGCTTAGAGGGGAGGAGGTGCCCAGTGTGGGTTCCTGGCTCTGCCCAGGACAGACTGAGGAGATGCCATGGCAGCCTCTATCTACCTCCTTCAGGGCCCCAGAGTTGTTTTGCCTAAAGTTGGAAGTCCTGACCCCTACCTCTGCCTGTCTCCACCCTGCTAAGTGTGGGGTTGTGGGGGTTGCCGTGAAGATAGCAAACCTCCAAACAATAAACCCCAGAGCCAGCAAGGTCATCACAGTCTCAAAAACTTTTTTCTACCTAGCCTCATGGTCCCCAGTTGGACCATCGCAAGTAAGCACTGTGAGGTGGAGCCCCTCCCTTCACTCTGGGCCTTCAGCCTGGCTCTTCTGATGGGTAGGCATTTGGGGTCCAGAAAAGGCTGTCCAGAACAAACCCACTCCCTTTAGTCTCTCAGTCACACTGTCTACCCCATCCCATCCCCCAACACGTGTCCCTCTGAATATGGAAAGCCCAATATCCCACCCCCACCTCCCTTAAAATTCTGAGGCTCTCTGGGGCTCAGGCCACAGCTCCCAGGCAGCGCTGGGTAAGCAGCTCCCCCGGATGTGCAGGGGAAAAAGGAAGCACAGGCTGGTGAAAGGCAAGGGGCCCCTTCAGGGAGTCAGGCTACCCTCGCAGGAGCGGGTGAGGGGAGAGTCTACCTGGAGCATTGTTCCCCAGCGCAAGATTCCCGCAAGACTGGTGGCCAGCTGGTCAAAGGAGAGCCTGCCGTCCCAGCTGGGCCCCTACCCGGAGCTGCCACGTCCCATAAGGCTCACGGGGCACACACCCTCTACACACACACCCTCAGTGCTCTCCCGCGCTTTCACTTCCTTGAACGTAGGGACAATACTGACAGCAGCCTTTAACTCTGACAATACCTTGATCTTACTCCTTGGCACCTCCTTTCGTGCCCCCTGCCAGCTTCAGGAGCCTGGGTGGGTCTGCCTGCCCATCCCTCCTCTACCTGATCGCAGACACTTGGCCATTCATTGTTCCTACCCAGCCCCGCCACCCACCAGGATGTACTGAGTCCCCACCCCAACCTATTTCCTGAAGTACTACCCTTCGATTTTTTTTAGCAATATCTCAAACACACCAGAAAATCATAGACTATAATATAGTAAATCTGTCTGGCCCAACCACCAGCTCTGTCTGTCTCAATAGTTTGTCACATTTATTTCAAAACGTTTGGAGGACAGGAGGGTAGGTGGAGATGGAAGAGGATATAAGGGAGAGAAATGGTAATGGAAAATGTACAATAAAAAATTAAGAAAAAAATTTTAAATATTTTATTTATGTATTTTTATAGAGAGGGGAAAGGAGGAAGAGAGGGAGAGAAACATCAGTTGACTGCCTCTCGTACGCCCCCAACTGGGGGTCCAACCTGCAAGACAGGCATGTACCCCAGTCGGTTCCAAACCGCTGAGCTTTTGGTCTGCAGGTGGGCACTCAATCTCCTGAGCCACACCAGCAAGGGTGAGAAAATAAATTTTTTTAAGAACCAAAATGTTACAAATAAAATAGAACCCCCCCTCCTCACCCCAGGGATAACCATCTTGTTGAATTTGATGTTTATCATTCCCATGCAAGGCATTCTTTTCTCTTTGGGTTGTTTTCTTCTTTGGTTTTTATGAATATGAATTCTGCATGTCTCTGCATTTGTCTGAATGCAGTGACTTCATTTGAGAAAGTGTGTGATTTAACATGTCTAAGTCACAAGAAGTGCTCACTGGGCTCTCCTCCCTCTGGAGACAGTTTACAAAGGGTAATATTTTGTCCCAGTTAACTCCTTGGGACCAGCCATCCCTCATGCTGTCCCTTGTTGTGCATGCATCACTTCCCCCTCATTCCAGCGTGGAGACCAAGAGACTGCCAGCAACTTCCCTCCCCAGTGGCTTGACCCTGATTCCCTAGCTCTCAGCCAAGCTGCTCACACCCTGACATTCAGGAGCCCCACTCAGACCTCCAAACTCACTTAAGCCTAGGTCACTGGGCTGCTGGCCCCACCTGCAAAGTGAGTGAGACCAGCAGCTGGCTGGCCTTGAAACCAACTAGGAGGCTCGCCCCTAGTTGCGATCCCTGGGGGGATAGCACTCCCGATGCAATCAGAAGCTGCAATCATTCTCTACCTCCCACCTCGGACCCCTGAGACATCAGCCAGAGGGAATCTGGATCCTGCCACAGTGCAGAGCACCAGCCACTTGCCCTCTGCCCCTGCCTCCTCAATGCACATGTCCCATTGCTCTCACAGGCACCACCACGGGGGCTCCTGCCTTTGAGTCCAAAACCCAATTTCTGATCCTTCTGATGACTGATTTTTCCTTCCCCTCCCTCATCAATCCTGGATTATCTCCTAAAGGGCTTCAGAAAGGGTAAGGGGTGGCACTTCAAGGACCAGATTATTGTCCCAGCCTTCTCTCTCTTTCCCATCTCCATGCTCACCCTTCCCCAAGTCCCACCATCCAAACACTAACCCCCTTTAATGGCTTAGTTCAAATGTCACCTACTCCGGAATATATACTGAAGTAGATTTCTCTTTTCCTTAAACCCTGTAGCAGTATGTTTCTTAACTTGCTCTTGACATTTGTCTTATGGTACAGGTGTGTGGGGGCTCATTTTTCTTCCCAGTCTGTGAACCCCATCAGGGCATTCCTGTCTGGTTCCCGGAGTCCATCACAGTAACTGGTACCCCACACAGGTGCTGGATAAGAGCTTGCTGAATAGAAGCAGAACCTTGACTAACCTCCCACCATTGTCCTGTCCTTAGTACTGGAGGCTGGCAAGGAGCACCCTTCACCTGTGGGAGGCACTCTGAGCCTTGACAAGTGTTCACTGACTTGCTCCCTCTGTTTCTTTTCGGCTTTTGCTCTCAGGGACCCTCTTAGATGTTTTCATAGGGCTGAAATGACTAAGAATCTGTTCTTGTTTTACAGAAGAAAAGCCATGACTTTCAAGGTGTGAGCCCTGGGACCAAAGATACAAGGACTCTGGGGCTCTCCCTACCATCACCCCTCTGGGCTGGAGTTCCCCGACTCAGTTCTGTACAGTGGGGTCACATCTGTTTTCCAACTCCCCATGGGAGGTGGAAGTGGCCCTTTGGCCTAAGTAAGACAAAGAGCAGTCCTTCTTCCCTCATTCTGTCCCCACTGAGGGAAGCCAAGGTTAGGATTCTGCAAAGGAAGCTGGAGAAGGACTGTGGGAACATCCTCAGCAGGCCAATGAGAGGTTGCTGATGTGGACTCCGACCAGCGGGGTCTGTGTGTTATGGATGTGACAAGCAAATTCACGCAGACTGCAGAAGTCCTGTGGAGAAAAAGGGACGGCATGGCCACTCTCTAAGTGAGAGAGAGCCCCGACCCTTGCCTGGACAGACTTTTATTGCTTTTCTAGGCACATTATATCCAGTATGGTCCTCATTTACTATGCACAGGTTCACTTTAAGTGATTACCTTTTACAGATAACAAAGGAAAGAATGTTGCTAATGCAAGGGGAAAAGTGGTTGAACTGGTTACACTCCATCTTTGGGAGGTTTAGCACAGATTTTAGGAAGTTACTTTAAAGATATGCAGTAAACATTTTCTGCTTCAATTCAGGGTGAGGAAGTTTTAGCAAAAGCAAGCTTCAAGGCAGCCTAGGTACGATGCAGGCCTGGTTCCCCATGGGAAAACTGATTTGTGGACCTGGGTCCTGTGTGCCTCCTTGCTCCTGCCAGCTTTCTGAATCAGGAGCTGGCCTGCATCTGCCACTGCCACATGGATCGTTCCCTATAGGTTGCCATGACAGAGAGCCATTGAGAGCTGGCTGACTTCCAGAGCTCATCTTAAGCTCTGGGTCACCAGAGTAAGCCAAGAGCCAGGGCTGCCCATTTCAGCCACACCCTACTTCCAGCCTTCTTATTACAAGCTATAGCTCTATAAGGGGAGTGGGATATCTTTGTGGGGTAATAAAAATGTTCTAAAGTTGTTTGTGGGAATGGTTATACAAGTCTGAATATACTAAAAGCCACTGAATTGTACACTTTTAATCAATACATTGCATACTATGTGTCTTAGTCTGCTCAGGTTGCTATACCAAAATATCACAAACTGGGTGGTTTATAAACAACAGAGATTTTTTTCCTCATAGTTCTGTAGGCTGGGAAATCCAAGATCAAGCCACAAACAGATCTGGTCTCTTGATGAGAGCCCACTTCCTGGTTCCCAGATAGTGCCTTCTTGCTGCATCCTCACATGGCAGAATGGGCAGGCCAGCTCTCTGGGCCTCTTTTATAAGGACACTCATCTCCGTCATAAGGGCTCTGTCCTCATGACCTAATCACCTCCCAAAGCTCCCATGGCCTAATACCATTACCACTGGAGTTCGGATTTCAATATATGAATTTTCAGGAGACACAAACTTTCAGCCTATAGCAAGCAGTATGTGAGTGATATCTCAATAAAGCTGTTATACACACACACACACACACACACACACACACACACCATGAGCCCTGACCGGTATGGATCAGTTAGTTGGGGTCATCCTGCAAAGCAAAAGGTTGCCAGTTCAGTTCCCTATCAGGGCTCATGCCTGGGTTGTGGGTTCGGTCCTGATTGGGGCATGTATGGGAGGTGACCAGTGGATGCTTCTCTCTCACATCTATGTTTTTCTCCCTTTCTTCTTCCTTCCCCTCTCTCTAAAAACAAACAAATAAACAAATAAAATCTTTTTTTAAAAACCACAAAGAAAAATCATTCTAAGAATGACTGAAAAAACAGTGTGATAGTACTATAGCTGTTCATGCCAGAATCAGTCATAAAAGGGAAAAATGGAATCAGCTTAAATGTTCAAAAGCAGAAAGATGATTAGATAGACCACAGAATATTACATAAGTTGCCATTAAAGATAATCACTATGAAAATTGTGAGCCAGCAGAAAATGCATATAGTTTGAAAATAAGGAAAGTTTTCTTCTTCCTCTTCCTCTCCCTTCTGGAATAATTCAGTCCTAAAGGTCAGGCAGAACAAGGTTATCAATGGGGGGTGGGGGTCGGGGAAGTCACAGTGGCCCAGAGCAGGGGTTCCGAGCCCACAAGGAATAGGAAAGGTGGGGGAATGGCCCGGGGTGGAGGGTTGGGGCCTGAGTAGAATGTGGAAGGCATCCGTGAGACAAGGACAGTGGTGGAGGTGGGAGCTAGGTTACAGAGGGAGTGATCAAACGAGGATAATGGGAGCCAAGTTTCAGAGAAGGGCCTTGGAGAAGCCACCCCCTCACAGCAGTGGGCACACCTGCCACCTAGATCTCGGGTGTTTTATTTCTTTCAATTACAGTTGACAGTCAATATTACTTTGTAGTAGTTTCAGGTGTATAGCATAGTGGTTGTCATTTATATAATTTACAAAGTGATCCCTCCCAATAAGTCTAGTGCCCACCTGGCACTATGCATAGTTATTACAATATTAATGATTATATTTCCCATGCTGTACTTTACATCCTCATGACTATTCTGTAACTACCCATTTGTACTTCTTAATCACTTTACCTTTTCACCTCGCCCCTCATCCCATCCACTCCCATTCAGCAACCATCAGTTTGTTCTCTGTATCTATGATGTCTCACTTTCTTTTTTTTAATATTTTATTCATTTAGTTTTAGAGAGGGGAAAGGAGGGAGAAAGAGAGGGAGAAAAACATCAGAGTGTGGTAGCCTCTCGAGCACCCCCTACTGGGCACCTGTCCTGTGGTCCAGGCATGCGCCCTGACTGGGAATGGAACCGGCGACCCTTCAGTGTTCAGGCAGGCGTGATGTCTCAGTTTCTGAATATTATTTCCATTAAAAGAAAGTAGGGCCCCTTGGAGAAAGAGCTGATTGCAGGGCTGGGGCTGGTAAAGCAGGAGATGAAGCTGCATATCCTGTTATGCCAGAAAGTAAGGAAGTGTTCAAAGAATGATGGACACAGGTTGAAAGGACACGGAAGTCAGCCTGAAGGGGTCCCCAGTGGCCAAAATGGGGACAATTTGAGTATCAAAATAATAAATGCTTGTAATATATAATATTCACATAGTTTCAAAGTATCACCCCACAAAATACTTATTAATTACAAAGGGAAAAGAGTAACTTTGAGGTGGAGAAAACTGGCTATAGTGGCCGAATGGTAGTTTCCAAAAAGATATGTCCGTATCTTAATTCTGAGAATATATGAATATTACCTTACTTAGAAAAAGAGCCTTTGCAAATGTAACTAAGTTAAGGATCTTGGGATGAGCAGGTCACCCTGGATTATCTAGAACAGCACTGGATTCAAGGACCACGGTCCTTGGAGAGAAACACAAAGGAGAAAGCGATGTGAAGACAGAGACAGAGACAGAGACCAAAGCGATGCAGCTACAAACCAAGGAATGCCAAGGCGTGGCCAACAGCCACCAGAAGCTGGAAGAGGCCAGGAATGGATTCTTCTCTCCATCTTCAGAGTGGGTGTGGCTCTGTTAATACCTTGATTTTGACTTCTGGCCTCCAGAACTGTGAGAGAGTACATTTCTGTTGTTTTAAGTCCCCAGTTTATGGTCATTGGTACATGGCCGCAGGAAACTAAGACAGTAGCAGACACCACCTTAAGCAAGTGGTCAAGTGACCATCCATGGAACAGATCAAAAACCGTGCACCAATTGATAGGCTGCAAAGAGAGGAACACAACACTGCTTCTGTGACATTCTTGCCAAAGATGCATGACCTGATGAACCCAAGTGAGGGAAACTCTACAACACAATTGGACTGTAACCTTTAAAAATGTCAAGGTCATGAAAATCATGGAACAACTGAAGAATTGTTCCAGATTGAAGGAGACAAAAGAGGTGTACAATGAGTGATTCTGGACTGGAACCTTTTAAAAATATATATCTATGTATTAATTGTCTATTTAGAGAGGAGAAAAACAGGGAGAGAAAATTGATGTGAGATAGAAATATCGATTTTACCCCAATCAGGGACCGAACCCACAACCTAGGCAAGTGCCTCGACTGGGAATCCTACCAGTAGCCTTTTGCTTTGAGGGGGGACGAGAGCTACCCGAGCCACACCGGTCAGGGCTAGACCAGACCGCTTTGCTATAAAAAACATTCTTGGGACAACTGTCAAAACTGGAATGAAATCTGAGGATTAGATAGTATTAATATATCAAAATTAATTTTCTAATTTTGATGGCTGTATTGATTATATAGGAGATTGTCCTTATTTGTAGGAAATACATACTACAACACTCTGAGTGATTGGGCATTCTGTTGGCAATTTACCCTCAAAAGGTTCAAGGAAGAAAAGTTCTGTATGATGTACTTTCTGTACATTTGTGATTGCTTCAAAATGAAATATTCATAAAAAAACAAAAATAAGAGACAAAAGGACACCAGTTATAAAATGATTACATATATATGCATATTATATCACAGGCTAGAAGAAAATTCACAATGATAATTATATTAAAGAGGATTGTGCGTTACATTGCTGTAAACCTTTTGAGTTTAGTTTAATAAATATGTGCTGAGGACCCGCTATATGTCAAGCATTGTGCCAGGTCCTAAGGATACTGAAAACAGTGACAATGTGTCTACAGGAGAGAGTACTGTGGGATGTATGGTGGCTGAATGCTAAGAATAAGAATACTGCTGGAGCACAGGGAGGGCCTGACCCCAGAGTACGGGTAGTGCCCAAAGGGAGGGATGCTTGGAATGTGGTTCTCTTGTTTTTTCCTTAAGAATAACAATAATAGCCTTGGCTGTCATGGCTCAGTGGATTGAGTGCCAGCCTGAAAACCAAAGGGTCATTCCCAGTCAGGGCACATGCCTGGGTTGTGGGCTGGGTCCCCAGTAGGGGGCATGCAAGAGGCAACCAGACATTGATGTTCCTCTCCTTCTTTCTCCCTCCCTTCCCCTCTCTCTAAAAATAAATAAAAACCTTAAAAATAAATAAAAATAATATGAAATTTGACTCTTACCCACAATAATATTTTTTAAAACTGTAACAATAATAAGCCCTGGCTGGTGTGGCTCAGTGGACTGAGTTCTGGCCTGCAAACCAAAGGGTCCCTGATTCGATTCCCAGTCAGGGCACATGCCTGGGTTGTGGACCAGATCCCAAGTAGGGGGCAAACGAGAGGTAACCACACATTGATGTTCCTCTCCCTCTCTTTCTCCCTCCTTACCCTTCTCTAAAAATAAATAAATAAAATCTTTAAAATAAAAAAGAATAACAATAATAAGATATACTGGGAGCCCCATCTGCATTGGTAGTCCTGGGGAGAGAGAAGAATGTGAAGAATTCTGGGTATATACAGCATGGGCGGCTGGTGGGCTGAGCTTTAGAGCACAGTCACAGTCTGAAACAGAATGGGCTTGGGGGACTGGATCACACTCCAGGAAATCTTCCAGGTGGTGTGTGGAGGTACATGATGGATCCCTGGGAGGGGAAGGCAGGGGGCGAGGGTGGGGTGGGGAGGGGTGGGATGGTGTGTCGCCATCACTGGTCTTTGAGCACAGGCCCTGGAGGAGAGCACAACTGGCACTAGCCCAGGCCACTCAGAGTCCCGGAGCCCAGGGCACAGTCATCGATGTTTCAGCCTTACATCCTCGTCTGGGCTGTCAGGCTGAGCAGGGCCCCTGGAGTTAGTCCCAATCTGTTTCCTTCTATTCTTTGACAGGAAGCTCCTGGAGAGCCAGCCCCCAGCCCCTCCCCGCCCCAGCACTCCCTCTCTCTTCTCCACTATGGACAGAGCCTCCACGGAGCAGCTGCCTGCCCACTACAGACCCAGCTGACATGGGGACTGTCAGAGCAACGCGGCTGTGCTGGGTGATCCTCGGCTTCCTCCTAGTCCAAGGTAAGAGGCACTGGCCCCTCTCCTTCAGCAGTTCCCTCCCAGGGCTGGTGGTCCTATCCCTCTTCCAGGACACACACCTCACATCCAGCTCTTCATCCAGGGCTGTGCCCAAGGGAAATTCCAGAGCCTTTTGTGCAAGGGATCGGTTGGGTTTGGAGGTAGACATTATCAGGCAAGAGTAAAACAGCATATGGTTAAGGCTTTTTGTGGGAAAATTTCCAGGGTGAACTGGGGCCCCCATGAAAGGCTGGCCTCCTGAAATTCGGGAAATGACTGTGTGGGTGTGAGGTTGAGGCCCCAAAGCTCCTTCCATGGTGTTCTACTAGCATGACATTGTCTGCACCTTGGGCTTTACGGGTGATCTTTTTTCTTCTTTAGTGTGGGGAGTAACAACCTCGGAATTCCAAATACTGACTCTAAGCTCACAGCAAGAGGGATTCAAGTTAGATACAAAGAATTATTTCCCGAAGAGGATGTACTCAACATCCTCACCCAGGGGCCCAGTTGAGATGAGCTTCGGAAGAGATGACTTGAGAACACCTCCCAGACAGAGCCCTGCCAGGGATGAGTAGAGAAGTAGCCCAGAGGGGGTCCTCTAATTAGGGAGCAGTTGCTGGGAACTAAGAGAAATCCAGGCGATTCTGACTCATGGGGCAGCAACTTCCCTTAGTTCGTTTCTTCCCACCCCCACAGCACCCTCCATGAGTCCTCCGTGGAGGGTGATGAACCTGTGCCCAAAGCAGCAGTGGAGAGTGTGGGAGAGCTTGGATGGGAGGGAGGACGCCCTTCCTTGGTGGTGGGTGAGAAGGCCTGAGCACTAGAAGACTGCCTCCCGGGGAGGTCAGACATTTCTCTAAAGGTCCATGGCTTGGAAGTCAAACTGTGGTCACCCACCCCACTCCTCCCTGACTCCTCCCACAGGATAGAGTCACACTTTTGATCTGGGGCTGGGGAACTAGGCTGTTGTAGAAATTGCAGAAATGGTAGAGAAGGTTGAAAGATGAGACTCATGAGGTGGGATTTTCATAGGCTTGGGCTTCTCCCAGCTTCCTTACACACTGCCTTGTCCCTGACGGGGGCCAGGACTAGGACTGCCCTGTGTAAACTCTATGGAAGCCGTGCTCACTGCTTGCATACCCTATCCTCTTACCGAGTATCTCAGAGCACTTACTGTCTCCTTCATTTTGGTGAACCAAGGAATGCTTTGGAGGATATTCAGGACCACAGAGGGACTTGACTGTGGATACATACATCAGGGCATAGTAGGCTTGAGACTGGGAGGATTTGACACAATGGGAAAAAATTTTAAATGTCCAGCATTTATAGAGCATGAACTATCTGTCAGACACTGCATTAAGTACTTTATGTGCATTTTCTTATCCTCACAACCACATATAAGGTACTAAAATCACTTGTATGTTATTTTATTATTATTTTTTATACTCATCCAAGGTCATGCCTATTGATTTTAGAGAGAGGGGGAGAGAAACATCAATCAGTCGCCTCTTGTGTGCACCCCAACCAACCGTATGCACCCTGACCAGGGACTGAACCCGACTGGGGACCAAACCCACAACCTACACATATGCCCTGACCAGGGATAGAACCTGCAACCTTTTGGTTTACAGGACAATGCTCCAACCAATTGAGCCACACTGCCCACGGCTAAAATCACGTGTATTTTAATGAGGAGAAAACTAAGGCTCGGGTCAATAAGTGACAGGGTCAGGACTTGAACTCAGGCCTGCCAGACTCCACACTCCATGATTTGTTAAGCACTAAAATATGCTGCTGAGGAATACTGGATGAGGTTGTGGAAGGGGAGGAGAGAGAGGCTGGGTGGAAATGGAGCAGGTGGGAATGAGGGAGAGGAAACAGTAAAATAAGAAATCCCCATGGCCAGTGTGCTCTGGTTGTCTGAGTGCCCAGTGGTCAGAGGCACCCTGGCCTGTCAAAACTGATGCTCCCTAAATCCCTCCTCTACTCACAGAGGCATCTCCTGGTGACAAAAAGTTCCCGTAGCGGGAGGGGGCAGGAGACAAAGAGCAACCTACTGGAACTTGGCCCCTGGGACTTACTGATAGGTGTTTTCAGGACATGCCTTGGATTAAAAGGGTCATTCCCCAGCTGGGGAAAGTTCTCTTTAGCCTGGGGCACCCGTAAGTTTTCACTCCCCTCTTGACCCGACCTACCACCCAGTGAGGGAATGAAGTATCGAAGATGCTGACCTGGAAAAACACCGCATGGCCTAGCGTTTGGGAAAGTGTGGGCTTGGAAACAATTAATTCCACGCCATCCAAGTGATAGCCCCATGGAGGAAGGCAGTGGCTAAGGAAAATAAACAGACCAGCAGGCTGCCCCAGGCTGGGCGGGCCCCTGGCCCCCAGCCGCCTCTGTTCGCCCAGGCCCGGCTTAGTGTTTCCCTGATGATGAGGGGCGGAGGGAACAGGAGAGCCGGGCCAGCGGCTGTCGTCCCAGCCGGAGCGGAGGGACGGGAACCCAGCTGGGCGGCTCCACTTCCCCACGTTTTCCTTTCACATTGTTCACAGGTTTTAAGAATGATTTCATTGTGGAAAATGAGCAAACACAACCTGACCTTTGAGGTCCCACAGACACGGGGGACACATATATGGCACACAAGCGCGCGCACGCACACACACACACACACACACACACACACACACACATCTGTACAGAGGCTGACCGGCATACACTCGTACTTACCAAACGATCTAATCTGGGCTTCTTACTGGGGCCTCCTAGTGACCTCCTCCCCAGGTTTGTCCAACAACAATCATTTCTGAGTAGGCTCTGCCTGTAAGAGTAAGCTGATCACTCGTTCTACAGCTTCCCTGTCTCCTGTACATATGCCAGGACTTGCTTCCTGTAGGCCCCTCCTCCTGCTGGAGGAGGGCAGAGATACAGCCCAGATACCAACCCCAGGCCCAAACTCCATCTTATTCATCACATCTTTCCATCCCCTTCCCTTGGGACAGGACTGGTGTGATGAGATCCACAGGGGAAAACGGCTGGCTCGATGGTGGTGTAGTGACGACATTAGCCTAGAGACCTGGAGTCTTTGTCTAGACTGGCAGGTCACTGGCCCTCTGTCTTTAGACATCACTAATTTAAAATGACCTTCCCCTGACGTTGTGTCAGGTTGGTATAAAACCCATGTGAGACTGAAGAGACAGGAAAGGACTCCGGGATGCTGAATCATGAGGTGGTGGTGATGGTGCTATTCAATCACAGTCTCAGAGGAAGCCAGCCCCCTAAGCTGGAGCCACATCCTTTAGGCCTCTGTCGGCATGGGAGGCTTGGAAAGGCAAAAGGCCTCAGTTTTTCTGGGGGCTGTATGTGCTGGGCAGGAGCCTCACGAAGCTAGTCTGTGTTTTGCTTTCTTTTGCAGGCCACAACTCCCAGCCCACCACAACGCAGCCCTCTAGCCCTCAGGGTAAGACCCAGCACACAGGACCTCCTCCAGCATTTAGGTCTGGGAGCTTGGTAAGGGTGAGAGGATCTCTAGGCCCTGTTTTATGCAGATCTCAAGTGATTAGGGGTGGGGCCAGACCTCAGGGCATTCAAGACTGAGCACTTCTAGGGACCTGTTTCAGCTTGGCCCAGTCTAACCTGCCTTGAAAGTGGAATGAGAGGAATTGTTGCAGGTGAGGGATGGGGTAGGGAGAAAGCGTAGAAAACGCCAGCTATAGGGCAAAAGAGGGGGACAGAGCAATAAGAGGCAACAAACAGCCTCAGATGACCACAGAGTCAACTCCCAGCGCAGGTGAGTGTGGTTGTCGAGGGGCCAATCCCAGCCCTCCACCCAGTCCCCTGCCTATCCCTTCAGACTTGCTTGCGGTCCAAAGGTTCTCATATGGGTTAGAAGTGTGGTGTCATCAAACCTGCCCCACCTCCACTTCCCATTCTGCGTCTGTCCTTGCAGAAGACAGTGCTTCCTCAGAGCCCAGTAGCCCAAGGTCTCTGTCCAGCGCCAGTGCCCCAGGTACTCCGCTACTCACACTACAAATTCCATCCAGGGAGGGCCCCATGGGGAGGCAGGCACAGTTTCTGCTCTAAAGGAGAATGCACACTCATGGGGGAGCAGACAAGTAAACAAGACGTCATGTCGCCAATCACAAAGCAGGGTGAGAAGGGCTGCGATGCGCATGGCAGAGTGCTGCTGGAGCCCAGACAAATGTCAGCAGCTTCTGACTTGAGGGCCAGCGAGTACATTCCAGAGTGAGGGAGAGCTGAAGCAGAGACCAAAGAATGAGTTGACCAAATGAAGACTGGGAGGTGAAGGGTGGTAGGGTGTATTCCAGGCAGAGGGAACTGCACGGGTGAAGACCCAGAGGTGTGAGAGAGGATGGCTCCTTCTGGAATGAAAGCAGTAATGAGAAGAACGATCTTGGACTAAAGAGCCTTCTCTGCGTGTGTGCTGGTTGGAGCCCCAAGCAGGCTCATACATGCTTCCTAATCCACAGCCACTCCAGGGAAGGCCTCACAGGTCCCCACACCCGTGACGCCGAGGTCAAGCACCATAGATGGTCACTTCCAGAGCTTGCCGGGCCTGACTCCATCCCAGCCACAACAGCACATATCAGCCCTTGGTAAGTATGTGGGGCTGGCGGTAAAATACAATGGGTCATGTCTGGCTGGGTTCCTTCCTCTCCTCTTCAGGGGGCCCAGGTCTTGCCCCACAATGAGGGGTCTCAGGGCCAGGATCCACATCAGCGGCACCCTGGTCTGGAAGGGAATGAGGTTTGGTGGGGAGTAGAGTCAGGAACCTGGGCCTGGTCACAGTGAAGGTAGAAAGAGTATGGACTCAGGATCGATCAAGGCACAGAGAGAGAAAGAGAAGGTTAGGAGAACCAAACAGTGCAAAGGAAGGCAGACAAGGTTAGGAAAGGGTTGCACACCTCTCAGGGCAGGTTGGTCCTCACCCAGCAGTGCGGGAGAAGAGCTGGGCAGGGGTGGGTACCTGCCACCTTGGCCCGCTGTTCGTGGCACGAGCATGGTGTCCCAAGCAGCAGCAGCAGCAGTGGCAGCAGAAGTGGAGGGACGTCCTGTGTGGACTCCCAACAAAGACTACCCTGACCCTTTCTCTCATCCTACCTCTTGGCTCTGGGATTTTTTTTAAACTCCCAGGCTTATTTAGGACAGAGGTGAGGACAAGGAAATGGAACAGCAGTTAGGCCTGCAATGAGTTCCAGAAGGGAAGAGATGGGTGACCATACCACCTTTTAAGGGGACCAGAAACTTGGGTGTCTTACCTGGCAGGCTGACACACTAGATCAGTCAGTGCCTGGGGACAAATTTTGGTGCCCTTCTTTCCTCCCTCTTCAACCCTTGGCAAAACACGATGAGTCTACCTTGCCTAGTCTGTCTCCCTATATCTGCAGCATAAATCCCAATCTTCTCGACTCCAAGGGGGTGGTGGGAAGAGCATAGTGAGGGAAGCATCCTGAACTTTCTGGAGTCCTTTGGAACTAGTAACACAAACAACCAGCCATCTAGTCATGTGATCCCACAACATCCAGTCCTGGCCTCCATCCTCATGGGACCTGGTCAGATGGGCAGGGAGGAAGTCTTTTCTGCAGGGCTTGAGCTGTGTCCGCAGTCCTTTACCTGGAGGAAGTGGGAGGGGAGCTAGCTCTCTCTGTAGGCTGAGTTCCTTCACTGATGAACCCATCACCACTCCATTTTAGACACTTCTCAAAATGTTACCACCAAATCAGCCACCATGAACCTGAGGACCAGAGGAGACTCCACCATCCTGCCCAGCCCTACCTCAGAGACGGTGCTCACCGTGGCCGCATTTGGTGAGAGGGAGGAGACAGTGGGGTGTGGCAGGGACCCCACCCGTGAACTGACTTGGACTCTGAGTCTGGAAACAAAAGTTCAGATCTCACTTATTTGTGCTGGGAGGGTTTGGCTGACAAAGAAGGCTCTGGTGGGAAAGAGTCTCCACTGGCTCTCTAGTCAGTTCGGCTGGGCTCTGCGGGGTTCCATGTTCTCATGGGAGGGTGGGGAAGGGCTGTGGAGCCCATGCTGGCCAGGGCAGCAGGCTGAGAGCTCGTTCCCCTTCTCAGCACAGAAGTGGAATTCACTTTGCTCCGGAGCCTGTCTACACAGCACTTAGCTGGGAAAATAATTTAAACTCCTGTTACCCCCTTTTGTCCCTTCCTCTGCCTCCCCTTCACCCCAACCTTTTCTTTGTTCAGGTGTTATCAGCTTCATTGTCATTCTGGTGGTGGTTGTGATCATCCTGGTCAGCGTGGTCAGTCTAAGGTTTAAGTGTCGGAAGAATAAGGAACCCGAAGGTACATGCCTGACCCTCAGGGCCCCCCTTTGCCTCTCTCTGCTGAGCACTCACAGCTAGATCCTGGGACTGACATCCAGCCTGGAATTGAGGGCTGGAATGGCACATCCGCATCAGTGGATAAAATGGGAAAGTCCACTTTGGTGACCTTTGAAAGGCAGGTTGGACTTCTGAGTAACAGTATGTGATCCCCAGTCTGTGCCTTTGGATTTTTACAGATCCCCAGAAGCCTGGGAGTTCCGGGCTATCTGAAAGGTAAGACTGTCAGAGGTATAAGTTGGAATCATCCATCTGACCTCAGTCTCCCCTCCAAGAGGGAGCCAACAACCAACGCTTCCTGTCTTCTACACACACATACCCACGGATGGAATTCTGACAGCCCCCTCTGAAGCCAGAGCTGGGGGCAAGCAGGACAGGAGCAGACCTGGACCTGAAAGGAATCAACTGGTGATGGGGGATGGACTGGAACTCCTCAATCCCAGGGCTAAGCCCTTATTACCCCTTCATTAAAAGTATAGGAATTCAGATTCTACTATACTCCTTAAATAAGAAGATACTCATTTAAGGAACCACTTACTGAATACCTTGTACGTCCTAAGCCCTGTGGTAGATATTTGGTAATATTATCTCAAATTCTTAGAGTAATTCTCTCAGGCAGATATTACTAAGGCAGATATTCTATTCAGGCAGATAAAATATTGAGACTCAAGGGAGGTCATAACTTGGTCAAGACCACACAAGCAGTAGGTAGTAATACAAAGATTTAAATACAAGTCTTTTGGACTTCAAAACATTTTCATTTCATTAGGGTCCACCACTGAAACAAAGGTCTACTTTTCAACAAGCCCTACACAGTTCCTTGACCCCCACATTGCCCTCCCACTTTTCTTATCTATAACCCATGTTTCCTTCCTACCTCTAGCTGCTCCACAGCCAATGGAGAGAAAGATAGCATCACCCTCATCTCCATGAAGAATATCAACATGAATAACAGCAAAGGGTGCCGCTCAGCAGAGAAGGTGCATTTTTCCTGGTCCCCCTCTTCTCCTTTTCAGGCTCCTTTTTTATTTAAAGTAACACTTATATTTACTTGGAATATTATAATGCATCCTCTAGGATACATAAATAGAAAATATGTTAAAGTAGTCAGGCTCTTGTTCCTTAACCAGAAATGAGATATTTTCAAAGACCCAGCCTTTTCTCTCCTCTTGCCTATTTTACCACTCCCGAGGAGTTCATCCTTCCTCATTAAGTATTTATTTTGCAGGTTCTTTAAAAGCAACCTTGGGTCCCTAGGAGACCGAAGATGATGCAGCTGCCCTGTGACTGTAAGGAGGAAGGCGATGGGATCAGTAGAGGCAATAAACCACATAAATTATTTTTTTGCTTCACATCTCCTCCATACTACATTACTGCAGATCTAAAGGATACTGACGTTCCTTCAGACTTAGGAGCAAGCTACCAACACGAAAGCCTCTCTCCCACATGGATGGACAGTCACTCTAGGAACACGGCCAGCTCCTCCCACCTTCTCAATGTCATAGGAAGGGGAAGTCTGTAGAGCAAAAGCAAGGAAAATGACAAAGTGGCTTGGTCCATTCTACTTGGCATTAAAATTATTTTCTGGCCTGTAGCCTCATTTCTTTTAAGATCTATGCTCCCATGCACATTTCTTAACAGAACATTCTAGCAGCTCTGGGGCCTCCTTATCTAGGCAAGGCATGTATGCAAATTTCTGCCCCTGCGAGGAACTCTGAGAGACCTGGGAGGTGGAAAGAACTTTTTGTCAGGCCTACCTCTGTCCGTCTAGTTTACTGAGTATGGGGATGCAGTGACTGACTAGCCTAGCCACTCTAACAGAGGGGCGAGAAGAGGAGCTGTAGCCAGAGAGCAATTGTCAGAGATTGCTAGAGAAATCTAAATCTGTAGAGAAATACTAAATCTGGAGAGTGAGAACATGGGAGACACAACAGCGTTCTGACTAGGAAACGCCGGGGGTATGAGCTGAATACTAAAAGGGCAAATGTCCTCCGCCTGCCCCAGGGCAGACCTCCCTCACTGTGGTTCTGGCTGTGGGAACAACACTGGGAAGGTCTGGGCGAAGACAGGTCTGTGACTTTATAATGCAAAACCCACCTCTTTACCCCATACAGCTTTATCTTTGTGTCCTAAAAATAAAGGATAATAAATAATGTAAAGTCATTTAAACAGAAGGAGGAAAAGAAAGCAATTATCTGTTTTCTTAGTAATCTGTGTTTGAAAATAAATCTTGGGAAGAGTCGACGGGAGAGTCGTCTGTGTATGTTTGCAGGCAGCATTCAACTCTGTGTAAGCATCTGCTCGTTGGCGGTTTAAAACAGAGGGAGGACAGGGATTACCCATTCCGAAGCCAAAATAGGCTCTTTTCTTCTGGATTTAGACTCCTCAAGGTGATATGAGAGAGAAAGCCTAGAACAAAAAGTTTCATTTTCTCTGTGTCGCTAAAACAATTCACGTGCACTAAAGAAACAGCGGATTCTAAAATCCTCGGGGCAGCGCCTGCAGCCTGCTCACGTCTGCAGCTCTCCCGTGGCACGTTGGGCCCGGCATGTCAGAGGTCGTGAACACCGGCTCTTGAGTGCAGGAAGACTAGTCACAAGGTTGGGCTTTGCCACAGATGCACAGCTCAACATTGGAGAAATCAGCCCCCATCATGGAGCCTGTTTGCTTTAAAAGTGAGGTGGCTGGACTACTTGCCTCTACTGACTTTTCTGATCCTTATGTTCTAAAGTCCTATGAATTCTCAAAGTAGGAAAAAACAATCTTTTCAGTAGATATTTCTCTGAGTGGGAGCCAGAGACAAGCCTTAGGTGATTCTGGGCAAGTCTTTTACATCCCCTGTACCTAGATTTCCCTTTGTATTCACATGTACAAAGGAGAGAATGAACCTACCTGGCCCTGTCTACCTCATGGCCCTGTAAAATGGGGTGGTAAATGTGGAGATACCTGGGAAGCACTAGTTGACAACTATAGCAGAAAAACATGGCGTGCCACTTGTGTCTAGGTCCCACACTTCAGGATCATGGCACTCGTTCCCCCACTGCTGGAAGTGTTGGCTGCTAAGGGCTCACAGCTGGTTGATGACTGGTTGATGGGAATGGGTGTGGGGATGAAGACCTGGACCTCTTGTCTCAACTTCTGGCCCAATCCTGCTCCCCTTACGCCTCAGAGATGCTCCTGGAGGCACTCACCAATAAAATGTCAGCATGCAACTCTTAGTGTCTCAGAGTCTATTTCTTGGAGTACTCAACCCATGACAGCAATACTGTAGTATTTCTAAAAAATAATTCAGATGTATTTTATTTTAGCCACACTGCCAAAAGCACCTGACTTCCCAGCTAGCTCCAGTACAAAAATCTGTCATTGGGATAGAACCCTCCGGGTGACGTAACAATGGCTAGAAGTACTGGATTCTGTTTCAGTTGTTATTCTGACTATCATGGGCACCTAGTTCGGCTGCTTACCATGCTGGACTAATTAGGTCAAGGACATGGGTTTCACTCTAGGTAACTCAGTTGATGTCTCCATTATAAGGCCATAAGCTTCCCCAACTCTGGACAATGTCCTGCAAACACAAGCTGTTAGTCATAAGGTATTTATATGCGGGGGGAAAGGGGTGAACTGGTATTAATATGAGATTGAAAGGCTTTTACCCTAAAACTAGCACTGCAGTATCACATTAGCCATATTCATTTTCCAGTTGCTAAATAACTATCCTTTTAGAAAGGGTAGAGGATGAATTCACTTAATGCTGAATTCTGCTCTCTAGCAAACTATATAAGGGGGTTCTGCTATTTATGCAAAAACAAGACCCCACCTCTGACAGGAAATCCGAGTGCAGCCTTCTGCAGCTCCTGAAGCTTCCCTGAGACAATATCTCTTCCTTGATGTCTAGACAACAGGATGGTGGGCATTTACAAGACAGCTTCCTCCCTATTCTAACCCAGAACTACAGACTTCCAAAGCAGGAACAAGTGGTGGGGGTAGGGTGGTTGCTGTAGAGTGTCCTTTTTTCACTTCTCCCCCCATCCCACGCAAGGGCAACAAGCAAACCAGCTCTGGTGCACAGACCCAGTTGGACAGAGCAGTCATTTACTTGGCATCTTTCTTCCAGGTCTGGATGGAGTATCATCTCAACCATATAGGGCACACGGTCAACCTCAGAATCACGAGCAAAAATTCACTACAGTTCAACAAGCATTTCTAAAAGTTAGGAGAGAAAACTGATAGAAATCTGAGGCTGGCTCTAGGTAAAATAGTGTACAAAAATCATGGTGCATCCCCTTGGCCTAGGTCCTGCACACAGTTTCCCAAAGTCAGGTCAGTACTACTTAATTCTATTTGAATCTGCTGGAAAACATGGTGTGTCTTTGCTCAGCGGCACCCCTGGATTAACGGATGTCCTTTCTCACTTCTTTGAACTTCTTTCTGCACCTACCTTCTTATCTTTGTGAACTGCCTTACAGATCCCAATTTCCCTTCCCTTTCCTTCCCAGTGGCTCTCTCGCTCTTCCTGCTGTTGCTTTCCCTAACCCCACCATCCTGAACCCTTTGAACCCACAGCTTTTTCTTTTACCAAACACGGAGATTGAATTTGACCGTGGGAATTATTTTGTTGAGTGTTTGGTGTACTTAAACAAAAACTGGCATGGAAGTGTTCTAAATGCTGGGGTTTGGAGTTCTAAGTTAGTACTGGTGATAGAGTCATAGGAAAATTCATCTAGAAGAGTTAGTTGAGGTATAAATGAACAGAAGGGTACAGCTGCATGGCAATTATCTCAGAAGGCTGCAATTCTGAACCTCTTTTTTTTCTGATTTGGAGTTAAATGAGTTGTCTAGAAAAGAAGGGGAAAGTGAGGTTTCAGAAGGTGACGGGAAAGGCTGTTGAGGTACCATATATTAGTATTTCAAAGAGGCCCCAGTGTCCCAAATCTTGTCCAGTGTTCTTGAACCTGGACTCTACTTCTGAGTAGCCCCATAATTTAGTATGGCTTTTCAGTCCAATCACCCCTACAGTTGTCTAGCACTCCCACTTTCAACTGATACTTCTAACTTCATGCAACCAGGACATCTCTGAGTGTCTCCCCTGGACTCCAAGGCACACCCCACCTTTCCAATTTCTAGAGCAAAATGTCTAGTCTTCCCAAACTACCTAAGGCTTTTTGGTTTGGTTTGGGGATGACCATGATCATTTTTTTCACTTTTACAGAATTGGGTTTTTTTGGTTTGTTTGTTTGTTTGTTTGTTTTAAAGATTTTATTTATTTTTAGAGAGAGTAGAAGGGAGGGAGAAATATCTATGTATGGTTGCCTATTGCACACCCAGTACTGGGGATCTGGCCTGCAACCCAGGCATGTGCCCTGATTTGTTCGCTGGCCGGCACTCAGTCCACTGAGTCACACCACTCAGGGCTGAAGAACTGGTTTTATTCTTTGCTAAAAGGCTCGACTCCATGCAAACCTAAGTGAGAGAAAGCGGGAATATTTCTTCACTTTCTTTTTACTGATCTTCTAAGGTGTGGTCTTCAGATAAAAGGGAATGGACTAAGGAAACTACTGGGGTAAGAGATGAGAAAGGTCTCAGAAGGGTCCTGGAGTAGGATGAGATGGAAGATAAAGAAAACGAAGACAGGGGCTGCAATGCCAGCTGTAATATGCACCTGCCCTATTTTTCTTTCTCCACCCCTGACCTCCAGTGGTTCCTCTAATGACGCTGTGCCTGAAGGGCTGAGGGAGGAGGGGTAGACCCAGACTGCCCTCTATCCACATAAATTTACCCCACTTTTCTACTTTTCATGGCTCTTAACTTCCCAGGGTTGGGTTCAGCATCCCCAAAACCTGTCTCTGAGTCTCCTAACAGGCGTTAGTGTATATATATATATTTTTTATTATTTATCGATCTCAAAGAGAGAGAGAGACAGAGAGAGAGAGAGAGAGATCGACTTCCCCATTTATGCAATCATTGGTTGATTCTTGTTTGTTCCCTGAAGGAGGATGAAACCCAAAACCTTGGCGTATGGGACCACGCTTTAATCAATTGAGTTACCGGACCAGAGGGCATTCTTGTATATTTTGAAACGACCTCCCTGAGGAGAAAAACAGTCATACTGTCACACTCTAGCCCATAGTTTGCAAAGGCTTTCCCAGGCAGGGTATCATCGCGCCTCCTTGAATGTCCCCAGTGTTAGGCGGGGACGAAGCCACTATCCCCATTCTTCAGAAGAAGAACAGCGCTGCCCACAGTGGTCACAGTTTCCTGCTGTGAGCCACTAGCCGCGCAGCAGTCAACTAGCAACAACGCACCTCTACAGGCCTCGCTTCCAAAGGAAGAGCCCCTTACTCCACTGCATCTCCAACTGTCCCTTTCGCGGAGACTGCCGGAAGTTGTAGTCCAATGTCCCGCTGCTTCAATGGGTTGGACTACAATGACCAGCATGCCCCACGCTTCTTGCCCCCTCCCCCAGGCCCCCCCTCATCTTTTTTAGCCTCAGGCGCCGGAGAGGCTCGGCTGACCTGCTGACTGGGAACCAGAAATGGCAGCTACTCTGGGCAGCGGGGAGCGCTGGACGGAAGGTACCAGGTCCTGGCCATAGGGTGGGACAGAGTGGGGTTTGGGAGCGATCAGGGATGGGGCCCTAGAAGGTGCCCGAGAGCTGAGATCCTGGGCTTGAGGTGAAGAATGCAGGCCTATGACATGTTGAGCCTGAGCAGGGTTCCAAATGAGGAGGTGGTGGACCATTCAGGGCAGGGGCCGGGATCCCAAAACTGAGAACGCTGGCTCAAGCGGAGAAAGAGGCCCGGAGCCCAGAGTCATCTGTGATGCCTCGTAGCCTCCGGCCCCCAGCCCCGCCCCGGCCCGGCCCGGCCCGGCCCGGCCCCGCCCAGGGTCCTCTGGGCAATCAGACTCCGCCCGCACCAGGGTGGCCAAAGGGTCAGCGGGGCAATGCGGTCTCCCGCAGTTTACTTAACCCGGCCCCTTATGCTCGCTACCAACCTGGGCCACCTGATCCTTGGTCTCGGTTTGGTCTTGTCGCTGCAGCCCACACCAGGACGGACAGGCCGTTTTTTTCCATCCTACAGTCAGGCAAAGAGTATTGATCCAATACCTATTATGTACCCTGCATTATGCTGATCTTGCAGCAGGAATTTGACAGGCGTGGGCCCCAGAGATCACAGAACTCTTAGTTCACTGAGGGAGTTTGACAGGTAAACAGTCAATTACAAAGCAGGGTCAATAAGTCCT